TGCCTATGGCAGGGGGAGGACAGGTGAGGAAAATCCAGTGCCCCACCAGCTCCCCACCCCCGCAGGGCAGCCCCCACTGCCCTCCAAGCCCTAAGGACTAGCACGGCTCACCAGAGGGGTGCATGGTGCGTGGTCCACCCTGGGCGCCAGCCCCAGGGGCCTCGGTGTGGTGGGGTGGCCTCCAGGCCAAGGCGCGTTTGCGGCGCCGCAGCCCCCGTGGCTCCTTCCCACAGCCGCTCTCCTCCAACAGTGCCTTCTCAGCCTGCGCCAGGGCCAGCTCTGAGGGGACACAGAGCCACGGGGGTGTCAGCGGACAGCATGGAGCTGCGGGCTGTCCAGAGAATGGGCTCCCGTGGGACACAGATGGGGACTGCCAGAATGAGCTCCATCCAGGAGCCAGCCCCACAGCTGCAGCTGGCTCCAGCACACCGACCCCTGGCTCCCACAGTGCACACCCTCCCCGCTACAGCCTCCCTCTCCTCCCAGCACGAGGGCTCAGGCTCATGGGTGTCCCCAGGGCACGTGGCCTACCCAGGTGCTGGAAGTACTCTTCCACGCCACCCCATGCGTTCTTCTCGATCAGTGCTTTCACCAGTGTCCAGGGCTGCTTGCGGTACCGGATCTCCGACGAAACCCTGCATGGGGGACAGGGCCCAGGGGTCACGCATTCTTGAGCCTTCACAGCCCCCCAGCTTGCACAGGGCAGGATCACAGGGGCGGTTCCCAGAGCTCCCTGCAGCAGCATGGCACTTACCGGAGCCGGGCCCGGCTGTGAGCCAGGGCACTGATGCAGTAGCGGTGCGTGGTGTAGAAGTAGTCCTGGTAGGGGATGCCCTGCGTGATGACCTCAGAGTCCACGGCGCAGGCCCCGCTCTGGGTGCCAGGGCGAAAGAGGTTCTGCAGGGGCCAGGGGGAGACGGGTTAGTGCAGCCATGGCACCAGTGCTAGCCGCCCACAGCGCTGGTGTCGGTGCCCTCCCCACAGCACTAGGACACTCCTCACCTGTGTCTCTATCACGGCAACGGCCTTGGGGCCCAGCGGGTTGGTGACAGGGATGGTGTAGGACAGCACACGGCTCTGACGGCACTTGTTCTCGCCACTCCATGCTGTCAATGTCAAGTCTGTAGGGCAGGGGGGCATCAGGGTTGGTGGGGCCCAGGCCCTCTACCCCCCCCAGCAGGATGGCTCTGGGGCCCTAATGGTGGCTGCACCTGCCCCCCAGCCCAGCCCTCCTCTGTGCTGTATGGACTAGCTTATGAAGCACAAGGCCCAGCGGGGGAAAGTGAGGTACATGTCGTATGTAAGAAATACGGCTCCCCATAAGGCCAGAGACTGGCTACGGAGGTATGCGGGGGCAAGGGCAGCACTCTCTTCAGGGGCTCACATGGACGCTGCTCCTCCACCACCCAGTGTCTGGCCCTGTGGGAAGCTCCCGGCAGTTGGACATGGCCTGATTCGGGGCTGCGGATGAACCTAGTCCACCAGGTAAGCCCACAGGCTTCAGCCTGAGTAGAGGGCTGGCTCCCTCACTGCTGCCACTCTGGGACCACCACAGAAGATCCTTTTTTTAATATGGGATCTCTATAGCAACCTGTGCATGGAGGTGGCGAGCTGTATCCCAGACAATACAGCAACCCTGAAATGGGCAGGCAGCCAGAATGTGCAGTGGTGGTGCCGGGTGTGTGCCTCGAGAGCTGGCGCAACCCCCCCATGAGGGCCGTCTTGCCCAAGTCACACAGCCCCCAAGCCAACTCTTTTCAAACTCTTGGGTCTGTGTCACCCAGTGCTCTCCCAACCTTCCCTCCAGAAGAGCTGAGAAGCCGGGCTGGCCAGCGCGGTGGAGACCCCCTCCCCTCCATGCCCACCTGTGAACTTGCGCTGGGCCAGGAAGTCCCGCATGAAGGGCGAGTCGCTGAACAGCATCTGCTGCAGGCGCTCAGCGCCGACGTGGTACACTGCATTGATCAGCAACCGCCCAGGCAGGTCCGAAAAGGAGTCCACCTCAGCTGTGGGCACTGGCTCTGATCTGGGCCCAGGACTCCTGGGTTCCCTCCCCAGCTCCGGGAGGGCAGCGGGGCCAAGCAATGAGTGCCCAGGAGGCCCGTCGCCTTCATCGTGTGTGGAGGAGGAGGAGGCACAGGAGGAACAGGAGCGGCTCACGTCAGTTGGCAGCTCCTCACTGGGCGCCACATCACCCGGGGAAGGAGCGGGGGTGGGCAGAGGGGTGTCCCCTGGCCCCTCAGGCTTGGGCGGGTCTTGCACTGGCGTCACTGTCTGTTCCGCTGCACCGACTGCTGGGTCCTCCACATCCTCCACCACCTGCTGAGTGGCCATAGGGGTCACCCTTGCCTTCGGGAGTCTCCCCACCCCCATCCGCTGCTGGGGAGGGTCTCAGTATCCCCAGCTGCCCCCCGCCGGTCTTCCCCCCACCCTGCGCTAGCTCACAGAGACAGTGCCATCGCTGCTGCTGGCTGGTGAGGGAGGGCTGTGGTAGTGGCCAGCACCCCGTGGGCCCGGCTCGGGACTGGCATCTGGCTGTGGGTCGCTCAGCTCGGGGTCGTCACCCTCCTTGGCACTGCTGTGGGGCAGGGGCAGCCGTGTGGGTTATGGTCCAGGGGGTAGCAGGGGTCATGGGGTAACCCCAGGAAGGTGGGGGAAGGCAAGGTCACTGTGCTGGGGTCAAGGGAGGTGAGCACCAGGGCCTGAGGTCATGGGGTCAAGGGGCAACCCAGCAAGGTGGGGGAAGGCAAGATCACCAGGCCAGGGTCAAGAGAGGTCAGCACTAGGGGCTGAGAGCTCAGGGGCGCAGCTCAGCCCAGCATGGCGGGGATGGGGTCAAGGTCACCAAGCCATGGGTCCAGCAAGGACTACAGCAGTGGCTTTAGTAAGGGGGTCAAGGGTCAGCCTAGCATACTGCGAGTGGTCAAGATCACCAGGCTGGGGTCAAGCAAGGAAAACAGGTGGGGCAGAGGTCGCAGGGGCAGACTTCACCCCAGCATAGGGGGTGGATCAAGGTCATCAGGCAGGGTCAAGGGCAGACAGCAGGGTCAGGGGTCAGTCACTCACCCCAGGGTGGGGGTCACGTAGTCATCATCCTCGCTGGTGAGGCCGAGCTCGGCGCCGTAGCCCTGGTGCAAAATGCGCCGCAGCTCCCGTGGCGACAGTGTCTGCGAGCCGGGCCCCAGGTCAAGGCACAGCGGACCTGGACCCCGGCCCAGCCTGGCCTTGGGCCCCACACCCCTGGCCTCCCTCTCACCCTGCCCCCACTCCGGCACCTTGCCCAACTGTGCGTTAATCCAGAGCCCGTGGATCAGGTCGAAGCAGCGGTCTCGGGCACCAAACGATGTGAAGAAGTGCTGGGGGCAGCAGGAAGGTGTCAGGGGGGTGTCAGGCTGGGGAGGGGTCAGGGGCATGGGCATGAGGCAGGGGGCTCTCACCTTCTCAGCCTTGGTGCAGATGAGGATGGCATTGGGGATGAGCTTGGCCGTTTTCTCCTTGCGCAGGTGTGTCACCTCCTTCAATGGGATGGAGATCTGTAGGGGAAGGGGCAGAGGTTAGGGGTGAAGGGTCAGGGCAGGTCTGGGGCAGGGTGGCTTCAGTGGGGGCCGGGACAGCTCACCGCAGTCTCCCAGCGGAAAATGTTGCTGTAGAAGCAGAGCCGCGTCTCAGACAGGTAGAGCCGGCCCTGGAGCAGGATGTCCCGCTGCAGCGCGCACGAGTAGTCTGCAGGGAGCAGATGCGTCAGCACCTGCCCGGGGCTGCGGGGGTGAGGTCAGGAGTGAGGGGCACCAGCCCAGGGCAGGGGGACTGCAGGTTGGGAGGAGCACCAGCAGGGTTGGGGGTTGTGAGCAAGGGGTACCAGCAGGGCTGGGGCAGGGTAAAGGGTCGGCAGTGCGGGGCACCGCGGGGCAGGGCGGGGTACCGCAGAGCTGGGGTGAGGGCTGCGAGTCAGGAGTGAGGGGCATCACGGGGCCGGCCCCCCCACACACCTACGAGAAGGCGCTCGGCCTCATGCAGCCCCTTGAAGATGCGGTGGAAATCCTCATTGCGCTGCTTGTAGGTTGGGCTTAGCACCTGCAGGGGGAGACATGGGTGTCGCCCTGCCCTCCCCCCCATGCCAGGCCCTGCCCTGGCCTGGCCCAGTGTGTGGGGGCACAGCTCTGGTGTCATGGGGGTCAGGGGTCACTGTGCTCTGAGCAGGGGGTCAGGGGGTCACTGGAAAGTTGGGGGCTGTGCTCATTCAGGTCCAGGCTCCTTGGTCCACCCCACCATTAACCCCATCCTACTCAGGGCCCTGCTGTACCAGGGAGGGGGCAGGAAGCAGAGCCCAGGCCAACCCCCGACTCCTCAGGGCCAGGGCAGGGGGTCAAAGGTCAGAGGATGCTGGACACCCCCGCAATAGGAGGGGCCAGGGTGGGACTGGGTGGAGGGGGGGGCACTTACGCTGTACCAGCTCTGCACGCGCTGCAAAGCAAACATATGGCATCAACCCCAACACACCCACCGCCCCT